TTGTTTGTATTTCCCACCCTGTTTCCAATGGTTTCCTGCATCTTATTTGCAATGATGTCATCAGTGCTGCCATCCAGACTGCGTCCCCCTTGGCTCCGTGTAGGTTCGTAAACCTCAGTGAGCAAATAGGGCTCGGTGTATGCGTACCCGTCACTGTCTGGGAAGAGGTTGTGATGTTCGTGCGAGCCAAGCATCAGGAGCCGTCTCTCTGCGCAATCTGCTCGCTCCAGCAGGGTCTCAATGAACATCTGTAATCAAGCGAAGCACCACAACAGAAAGATTTTATCAGATTTGCTGACTTCTGTATGTTTACTGTAAGCTGCATCTGAATACCAAAGGTTTTTGATAGGAATTACTAACACACCCCACAATCATGAACTAACATGAAGTTGTAAGAGGTTCTCTTACACTATGAAGCACCAAGACATGACTAAAGAAAACGGAATTGAGTGGAATATCTCATTCCAGCTCTACAGTCCTTAGCATCGCCAGCAGCCAATGTCCTTGAGAAGAGAGGCTGTCTTTAGTTACACTTCAGGAAGAACAATGAGGTTTTCATCCTAGTCAGGAAGCACTGGACCAGCTCTTCTCAAGGATATTCAGGAATATGTGGGCGTTTGCCCAAGACAATAAGACAGACTTGTGCTCAGTGGCTTTTGGACTTCACCAGGACATTTCTGGACAGTCTGGTTCTGATGGCTTTATTGAACAATGAGCAGCATGGATCAGGAAATTGGACCTCAAAGTCTGAGGACAGGTTGGAAATGATCGCTACCCCAAGTGGAAGAGTTCAAGTATCTCGGGGTCTCGTTAATGGGTGAGAGAAGAAAGCAGCAGGAGATTGATGAATAGACTGGTGTGGCATTGTGGTGATGCAGACCCTGTACCGGTCTGATGTGGTGAAAAGAGAACTGAGCATGAAAGTAAAGCTGTTGTTTTACATTACCACCCTCACATGTGGCCACAGGTTCTGGGTAGTGACAGAAAGAATGAGGTTTAGGGTCTCTGCTGTTTGGTTGGTACTCTGAGTAGAGCCGCTACTCCTCCACACTGAGTTAGCCTTTGACTCGGATGCCTCCTGGGACCCTTCTGGGTGAGGTGTTTTGGGCATGTCCAACTGAGAGGAGGCTCTGGGACAGACCCAGGACTGGCTGGAAAGCTGTAGTAGGGGAAGAGGACGAGGCAAACAAGGCAGGGTTTGCCTTAGAGCATGTTTGATGAGTCACTTTTGGGTTTGTTATTGAAATCGAATATTTTGGGTATTTTTGTGAATGTCTTGTAGTTTTCCTTCCTTTGTGATTGTTCACGCCACTCGCATTAGTTTCACTGTGTGTGTGCACTGTTATCTGCACTCGTGTCAGTTAAATTTCTTGTTTGCTCTGCATGTGCACCCCCGTGTTCCTCATGTTCATTGTGGGTCTCTTAACTCAGTGTGAGTTAAGATCCAATTTCAATGGATGTGTTTTAAAATTGTTTACAGTTCTAGTTTGAGTGACAACAGTGTTTGTGGGCCCACAGACTAAACAGCGTGGATGACGCTAAGGCCTGAAAGGAGTCCTATGACAGATACTTACATATTTTACTCGCAATAGAATTAACATCTGTGCATTTTGCAGGAGTTTTCTTAAGTTGACAACAAAAGCTCGCTTTTTGTATATTAACTCTGCCCCAGTGTTTTCTCTCTGGAATCTGAACACGTTCTTGTACATGAACTGTATGATTTTGACCCAAACTCTAATCTAAAAATCTAACCAAACTATGTGGGAAGAAAAGGTTAAGTTAAAATATAAAGTATAATATAAAACTTTACAGGTTTTGAATGACAAAGGATTATTTCATAGATGAGGTCACATGCTGCATACTTGCCCCCTTCCAATACGTAGTTTCATGTGTAAATAACAGCCTCATCTTGGCCAACCCCACTATAAAAACTGTCGGGTTACCCTGTGTGAGCTGGGTCAGATTAATCTCACGCATCACTCTTGTCAAACAAATCAAAATAAACCACCCAGAGTTTAATTACAAATGAACCAACAACAGAAGATCTCCTGCATCACCTGCAGCCTGGATTTGGCTTCGGCCTCTTTGTCTGCCGTCTCCCTCAAAAAATGCTCAATGTCCACCATCTCCCTGAAAAACACACACAGTTCAGAATGTACACATTATTCAGTGACCCAAATGATAAATAAGTTAAATAAGATAGACGGCACAAAAAACACGCAAAACAAACCGAGTGACCTCCCAAAAATACACACCCTCGGGCTGCTCTGCCTCATTGTCATCTTACATTTATCATCCCAGCAAACCGCAGCAGAGTGTGTGTGTGTGTGTGTGTGTGTGTGTGTGTGTGTGTGTGTGTGTGTGTGTGTGTGTGTGTTAGAGAGAGACAGAGAGAAACACAGAGTGAGGCAGATTAAACATGACGTGTCCTCTGCCTGTGCACCGTGTTTCTGTGCTCAGCGTGCTGTAGTTCCATGATATTACATTACATGCTGTTTGCTTCTGCTATTAGTGTTTCATTTTCCACAAACAAAAACTGACCACACGACAAATTCTGCCACACTGCATCTACTGCTGCCAGATTTCCTGATTTTAATGCCCAAGCACTTCCTACTTGGTATTTAAATCTGACCCCATTCACCTCCACATACTTGCCTTACATTCTACACCAGAGTTCAAGTTTGCCACTGAGGGCTGAGTAAAATTAGCCAAAAACAACCTCAGCAGTTGCTGCCTGCAGTGCTTGGAGATCTATTACTGGATGAGTGTAGTACTAGAGGAAGCTTTAAAGCTCGGTAAGATTTAGGTAAGCGCTACACTAAGAAAAAGTGTTTTTTTTCTATAATTTTCAGAAGAATTTATGGATGTCTTGGTCATTTTATTGGTGATAAATCGGAAAGGGACTCCAAACTTTAGTCCTTCATACAAAATAAAAAGGTGTGATATAAACAAATTAAAACACCCAACAGAAACTGGTTTTGTAGCAGGCTGCAGACATGTTTATTTCTGCTGTAAAGTTGGAAAATTTAACATGGAAGTCTATGGGCACTCATTTACTTTTACACCCTGCCCCAAGTGGACAATAGGGGAACTGCAGCCCTAAACTGCTGTTTAGTCTTTTCAACCTTGTCTATTTACAGAACAAGTTAAAAAATGTACACTATTTAAAATAAATACGTGAACATGTTAAACTTTTTACCATTGTTATTGTGATGACTAGTCCATAGAACATAGAAAAGTGGCTGATCATAAATGAATAACAACAATGGTGCAATGAAGAAAACTTTCATCTAAAAATGTCTTGTTCCATAAAAAGAGGGAAAATAAATCCTGAAAACACAGTTTTATCCACTAAACTTCCAGATACTGACTGTTGTCGTTTGCTCAGCTCCTTCTCTTTCCCTGTAAGATCTTTCTTTAATTTCTCCATCATCTCCATGGCAGCTGAGACCTGCAGGAATGCAAAAATAGAACAGTGAATATACAACGACTTCAAAATCGTGTTTAAAACATTGCTTAAAGCCCCACCCACCTGTCGGGACAGGTAGGCTGCTTTCTCTTCCACTTCCTGTTTCTCACTCCTGAGTCGTTCCTTGTCTCGCCTCGCCCGCTGTAGCTCCATCTCTCTCCTCTGTAGCTCCACTTTCAGTCGGGCCATGCGTCGGTTCACCCTCTCCTCAACCTCCGCGAAAGTCCGGGCGATTTTATGATCCAGCCCGAGCCCCAGTCGCTCTTCCAGCCCAATCTCCACCAAGCCTAGCTGGACCCTCACCTCTCCAAGGTTCTTCCCAGCAAAAAGATCCACAGATCCAGGAAGGGCCAGAGCAGTGGAGGGGCCTTCTGAATGTACCGTAGAGGAAGGCAGAGGGCAATCTGAAGCACCGAACATCTCCCTGAGCAGTTGGACGGAGGCAGATGATGAGGCGAGATCCAAGCAGGCCAGTGGCAGGGGCAGGCTTTCATGTTCCATGTCCAGAGAAGTGCTCTGACTTTGGGATACAGCTGGGCTAGGGAGTGGGAGGAGAGAACTGGTTCTGGAGCTTCTGACCCGAGCCTGAAACATTAAGACAAAGTTAATACTGGCACTGGTAACGCAGTTCAAGGGCTGGTCACATTAAAAAAAATTAATTAGTTACAGGTGGAAGATCTGGATCATCTCAATGGTCTCCAAACGATCCTGTAAATCTTCCTTTCACTCTTGCTGCTATCGTTCATTCACCAATTACCCCTGACACTCTACCCCCACTCCACCCTACCTGCACTCTCTTCCTCATCGCTCTTGTGCACTGTCTATTGCTTTGGATGGTTGACTCACCTTCACCATCTTTTCCTCTCCAGAGCATACCTCCACCTCTCCCTGCTCAAACTATAGAACACAGTGTCATCTGCAAACATCAGAGTCCACAGAGACTCCCGTCTGACTTCCTCTATCTTCCTCTACCTGTCTATCATAACTCTAAGTAAGGGGGGGTAAAGCCAAACCCTAATGTGGTTCCACCCCCCTGCCACTCCTACCACCACTGTCTCGGTGTCTTCAAATGTGTCCTGCACCGCTTTTAGAATGCAAAGAACTAAAATATTCTGAATAAAATGAAGGAGAAGAAACAAATAACACTGGTATAAATTTCATGGGTGTCTCAAACTCACAATATTAGTTACATCCCTGAGTTTATGATGCTGACATGAGGATCAGAGAGGTGATGCTTGACAGAATTCACATAAATCTAAACAGTTTAAGAGTCTTAATTATTTAGAAAAATAAAAATAAAAGCCTGTGTTTGTTTCTATTCACAAACCATGCACTAACCAGATTAACTGTCAGACACAGCCACTTATTTTCTTCGTTGCAATAATCTGGTCAGTTTTTCTCCCTTTCTAAGGTCTGACACGACCTCACTTCTGTGTGCAAACAGCACGAACATCCATCGATCTATGGTTTATTTTTGCAGTCCTAGCATGATCAGTTATGACCAGGCAGATTATGTTGGGAATTCAACCATGTTTGCTAGGAAATTAAAGCTACCAAAGTCATGTATTGTTGGCTAGCTTCATTACCAGCAGGTGTCAAACAGAAACAGAAAATCTTAAATCTGAGAGGCTGAAAAATGAAACAGACAACATCAGTTTGTTTTAATGTAGAGTAACTAATGAGTCTCTGTAGCTCCATATAGCTGCTTTCCATCCATATTCCGTATTCACCGGGTGATGTCAGACAGATTTCCCAATCAGATCCATTATTATGTGTCCAAATTGCAATCGTTTCCACGATGTGGCCTCTGGGAGGACACATTATTTCTTTGTTCCACATGACAGTAAACTCAGATCTCTTTAGTTTGTCACATATCATGAAATCTTCCACAACAAAAGTACTTTAGCAGTTAACCAGTCGTGAAAATGATCATTTGCTTGGTTACCTGGGAGAGCACCAGCAGGGTCTCATAGGTGTGTCGGCTGACCAGGTGCGCCCGGAGCTCAGCTACAGATGAGAACCGAAACCCATCACCGCAACGAGGACAGAAGTAGGGCAGCTCCGTGGAAGAGGAGGAGGACGAGGAGGAAGACATGATTCACGAGGAAGCAGCAGACCTGGAAGAAAAGATATGAGCTCATTAGAGAAAAACAAAGAGACTGCAACAAGATAGTAAGAGTAGAAGAAGAAACACACAGAGTAAACCGGAGTGAAAACTGGGTCAGAGTGCGTGTGAGCTCTACATAATTGATTCTATGCAGATGAAGATGTAACGAGGCTCAGACCTGAACATTAAAGACAGCAGAACACGTGTGTTTGATTTATTCTTCACGGATAAGCCGGATCCATGCTGGAGCATCACATGCGTGTCCTGTGGCGAGCTGTTGGGTCTGATGTTAGTGGGGCGCATGTGTGTGTTTGTTTCTGTGAGGCAGCAATCTTTCACGCCGCTGCTCCGACCCGTGCAGAGGAATTTAAGCACGCATGGATGAGCAGGAAGAAAGAAACGTCTGGGGCGTGGAGTCTCTGTGTTCGCCTACTTCAGCCTCCTCTTCCTCTTTCCATGCCCTCCATGTTTCATTCAGGAGTTTTTATTTGGTAAGGACTACAGCGAGGGGCTGCTGCATTACAGTGACTCGCCTGAGAGCTTATACAAATACAGAAGAAGAGCAGATTTGTGCTTTAAGCAGCACAAATATGCTCTACAATCATCCTCTGTGTGCCACAGAGGATGATTTGTTCACAGTTCAGTTTTTACATTTGTTTTAAGGGACTTATGCAGTTACTGAATGTCCATACACTCACAAACAAATTGGTGTGGAGGCCTTTGATGATTAAATTTATGTCACTCAGACCAACACCAGCTTAACAGACCAAAATGTTTGAGTCGCCAAATCAAAATCATGAGATAAAACGTAAAAGTGATCAGAAAAATTAAAGCTTTAAACATACAGCAACATTTTTAAATGAAAACTGAAACTGAAAGAAAAGTATACATTTAAGAACTAACCACTAAGAAACTTAGAATTTTGAGATATTTTGACATAAAAAGTCTAAATTATGCAACTAATTATGCTGCTATTCATACTGTCATTATATTAATGCTGCTATCCTGTATATATCGTACTTACTATTGTTTGAGTACTTGTGATTGTTTTATTTTACTTTTTATATTTTACATTTATTTTTATTATTGAATCTTGCACCAAGGGAGTGGCACTCCAATTTCGTTGTACTCTGTACAATGACAATAAAGGCTATTCTATTCTAAAGAGTCAAATTATGACGCAAAAATGTCAAAATTGGAAAATTAAAACTTAAAACGTTTAACCTAATAAGTGAAAAGGTAAGCAAAACAGTCTAATTAATTAAAATATAAATAAAATAATACATTACAAAGAAAGGTCAAAATAAGAAATTAAGTAAAATTTGTTCTGTGATGAAAAAAATATAAAATGTAAATATATTTTTTAAAAAACGTGAAAAATATAAAGAAAATGTTGCTATAATGTATCATTATAAAATGTAAACATAAAAAAACTAACAATGATGTAAAATCAAAGCTTTTAGAAAAAAAAAGTCAACACTAACAAATGACAGATTGGTCAGAACTATTTTGGAAAAGTTTGATTTGTGACACGAGAAAACTTTAATTTATGAATTGAAAAAAATGAGACCTGAGCACAAATCAAAGAAAAGACTGTCGAATGACCTGCAGCATAAAGTATGAACACTGAACAGGGTTTAACCAGCCCGCCCACTCTGTGTCCAGCTGTTAGATTACAGCTGCGGGCTCATTCCCAGTTATTACACGAGCAGGTGAAACGTAAAAGAACGTTAAAAGTTGAGCCACACAGACAGAAACTGATTGATTATTCGAACATCTGCCTGCAGCTGTGAGGAGAACGAGCTGCTCTTCGGGTTCTTACCGAAATATGGAGACTGATGACAGCTTCTGTGCTGCCACACACACGCGCGAGCGCGCCCGGTTCACCTATCAGTACCTGTGACAATCGATCCGCGGATGTCTGGTCCTCGCGCTGCCTGAACCCACCCTTATCGACCGCCTGCGTCACTCAACCCCAAAATCCCGTTGCCATGGTTTCCCGGTTCTTCCCAGTTCCCCTCGGATCGATGGTCCATCATCCCGGTACCGACCACGTTTTATCGTGCAGCAGCAGCATTGCACACGGAGCGAATGTGTGCGTGTCTGTGTGTGTGCGTGTGTGCGTGCAGTTGCTGACGTAGAGAACGCGTGATGTGGGCCATGATTGCCAAGGCTCTCTGGTTTCACACATTTGTGTTTTTATCGTTCAGATTAGACTGAATTGGACATAAAAGCATGAACACGGCGACGCGCGCGAGGCGATCTGTAGATAATTTGATATTCATTAACACACATCCACTGTGCGGGCTTCAGTGTGTCTTTGGAAGTCACGGAAACTGTGTCCTTCTCACGGCGTTCAGACCACTTTTTTTTTTCAACTGAGAATCAGTTCACTTCTTCACCCCTGTAACCAAGGAGACACGTGTACTCCAAAACATCTCTCCATAGAGGAAGAAAAAAAACAACTTCAAGCATCATGGGAATGTTTCAGTCTTCCAGCTCAAAGCATCCTTAATTAAAGTCATTTGTGTAACGTAGAAGGAGTGCAGTGACACAGTGTTTATTTTATATTTGGTTTCACCGACAAGTTTTATTCTCCCAGAGTGACACTGCTGGTGTTTCTGTTTGTCCGGGGGAACTTTTCATACCACAGAAATGACAGAATGGGCTTCGTGCCGCTTTTAATAAGACTGGAAATAAATGTCTGTGTTTTATACATAAGCAGCAGCCTACCATCATCATCATCATCACTACCCAGATTTCACTGTAATAACTCCAGCCACCAGCCAGTTCCTCTACAGAGTGTCTGACCTTTAACCCTAACCACAAGCAGAAAGAATCAATTAAGAGATCTGTTTTCCCAGTGGAACTGATTAACTGATTAGGATGTCAAACACAGAACAGTCCTGCTGGATGAAGATGTTTGAATCACTGAAACTCCTCCGTGTGAAGTTTTGTTCTGTAATCTGTAATCATGTTGAAATTTCATCATGAGATGGCTCCCTGTACAGTCTATATGACCACAGAGCGACAGCAAGACTACAAGTTTGTGGATATTAGGTGGTCTCTGTTTTGCAATCTGTGTAAAAGGCATTTTTTGTGACACATTCTTTTGTGCATGAGTGTATTATTTTTTCTCCTTCTGTGATAATGTGGTGGCCACTGGAGGGCGCCAGAAACCCGCGGCCTTCAGGAAAAGCTTTTATCCTATTTAGTTTGCAGTGGAGGCCAAAGATTTGCTCTGAAAGCAAACGTGTGTTTCCAAACACGTCTGGTTTTAGTATCAGGGTTACAATTTGGTTATGTTTAGGTTTAGGCTTAGGTATTCAATTTTGATGGTTAAGGTAAGCGACTAGGGAAAGCATTATGTCAATGAGATGTCCTCACGAAGATATGAAAATGAGTGTGTGTGTGTGTGTGTGTGTGTGTGTATGTGTGTGTGTGTGTGTGTGTGTGTTTGCATGAG